GTTCAAAGGGTCTTTGTTGATTCCTAGTATCCAAGAAGTCTCAGTATCTCTGGTAAGGAGTAGAACATGCTCTCCAATAAGGTGGTATATACATTCCGAGTGTGTAATGTTGTGTGGAAATCTTTACTAGAATGTAAAATTTCATTAGTGTTTGCAGCGAAGTTTCTTGTCAAAGTCCTTGACTTCAGTTTGTAACTCTTTTGGCACTGCTGCTGCTTGCAATCAAGAACGTCATAACTACTGAAGCAGCTGTTGCTTTTGCTGCTATATCAGCCACATCCATTGCCATCTGAAGCACTGTGCATGGAACGGTGTAAACCTCCTGAACAACGGATTTCAAAATGTCATCCGGTAAATGCTGCATTAATTCGGTTAGTTTGGCATAATTGTCAAAATTATAATTGTGAATAATGAAGTGTAATTAACAATTTGAAGCTGCAAAGTAGAGGAAGAATATACCTTCCTGCCAAACAGATCTAGTCTCTTATAATGGGCCGACATCTTGTACTGGGAGTTTTTGGATCTCTGGGTGTGTCTAGACTACAGGATTTTTTCAAAAAAAAAAGTGGCTTTTTTCGAAAAAACTTCCCCTGCATCTAGACTATTGCCATGTTCTTCCGAAAGTAAATCGAAAGAACGCGGCAGGTTTTTTTGACCGCAGAAAACCTCATTTTATGAGGAAGAATACCTTTTTTCGAAAGTGCTCTTTCGAAAAAAGGTGCTATGTAATGCAAACTCTGCTTTTTCGAAAGTACTGGTTGTAGTCTAGATGCTCTTCTTCAAAAGAGGCTTTTTCAAAATTATCTTTTGAAAAAGTCTCTTTTGAAAGAGGCTTGCAGTCTAGACGTAGCCTCTGAGTTGCTACATCTTTGACTAAACAGTTTGGTTGTGGATTAGGAATAAGAAAGTTCATGCCCTTTGAAGATACCAAATACTTCTTATAAGTCCATTTGTTCGTAGGCAGGCTGATGCCGTTGTCTGCCATATTTTGTCTGCAGCTTCCATGATAGCTTCGTCAATTGGAAGTGCAATCTTTGATTTGACTGCTGGGTTTAAGTTCTATAGGACCCTATGTTATTTTTCATTAACCTTGGACAGAGTAACCTCCTGGGTGATAGCGACTCTTTCAGGTCATTGGTTGGGGACATGTCGTCTGGAATTACTGCCTCATCAGTAGAGGACAATGATTTGTCTGTTGGCAAGGCACCTTGTCATTCCTGGTCCCACTCATCAGTGACCTGTCCCTCTTTGATATCTGGGTCCTTTGTGGGGGGAGGAGGGCTATGAGTAGAGGAGGGTGATAATGGACTGTCGACAGGTGTGGGTGGTGCCATGGAATGATGTCACAATGGAACAGAATGGCAACCACCATCATGTGTGATGAGGGTAATAGTACCATTTGGAATAGCAGGGGAGGCGGTGATGGAACCGTGGATGGTGTCTGTCATAAGGCATACATGGTCTGGTTAGAGAAGAATGCTGAGAGAAGAAAACACTCCTGTGGTCATCCTCGTGTTCTGAGTAGTGAGAGAGAACTTGTGATCTTGGCAAACGAGGCGAGTATCTAGTCAGTGAAAGAGACGGGGAAGGTTCCATGCAAGATTAATCACGCGGTGATCGAGATCATGGTGCCGCTGACAGTACCGATGTGTCAGTACCACGTTTGTGATAGGAGCAGTGCCAAGAATTAGAAGACTCTTGAGGTGCAGGTGACCTAGGTGCCGATGGAGGAGGCATTAGTGCTGGTGGGGAGGGTTCCAGTTCCGGGCTTGGCAAATGCAGTAGTGGTTTCATGGATTTAATCTTAGCTTTTGTCAGTGCCGGCGTCTGGCTCGGCACCTGCGGTGTCAGCCGCACCATGATGTTGTCTGGTCCGCTCACGGCTTCGGTGCCATTGATGCCGGTGCTGTTGACTGTGGTGTTCTCAGTTTATGTTCTGCAACTTATGCGGCACGGGAGCGGCTGGTGCCAGATATGCCTGGCTTGTCTCCTGCGCTGACTCTTGGAGGCAGGGAATGGGCTGGAGAGACCTTCTTTACTGGTTGTGATTTAGAGCAGTGTTTCTCAACAAGTGGTATGAATACCCTCATGGGATACTTGAGAGAAGTCTGGGGGGTACATCAACACAATTGAAATTTGGAGAAATCTGAATTTTTGTTTTTAAGTTTTACAATGTTTTATTATTTTTGTATTTTTTACACCCAAAAATTTAATCGCTCACCCGGATACAATTAAGTTGTTTAAACAAATGTGTTGCAACGGTAGAAACAAGTTGTGTGTCTATAAACTGTAGGTACTAGGGGTACTTATAATTTTTTTTTTTTTTAAAAAGGGGTACTTTATAAAAAAAGGTTGAGAAACACTGATTTAGAGGAAAAAGAGCTTGCGCATTCCTTCTGTTTACTAGAGGTCTCTTGATGTGTTTTTCCCTGTTCAGTTGGTTGTGGCTCTAGGACTTTGTCGAAGTGGAGCATTCTTAATCTGAGCTCCCTGTCTTTTCATGCTCTGGATGTGAGGTTGCAACAGTGCATGCAATTTTGAGGGATATGCGCCTCGCCCAAGCTTCGAATACAGGACCCGTGACCCTCTGAAAATGGGCATTGGGTCGCGACACTTGTTGCATTTCGTAAACCAGGTGAACTGGACATTGTTTTGGTTCTTTCTTCTTTATTTTATTTTTTTTTTAAATGACTGAACCTAGAAACTCTATATAACAGAAAGGATTTATAAACTAAGTGAATCTGTTCTTGTTCGCAGGAAAGGAAGTGGGGAAGACGGATTGAGCTCTGTCTGCAAATGAGGGCAGTATAAAGGAACTGAGGAGAGTTGGGCCGTGCACACAATCTCCAAAGGCATGAACACCACATGCCCTTGCCACACATGCGTGACCCGATCAAATACTGCTAGAAAAATCTCCAATCTGTGGCACTGGGATGAGCCCATCACCAACAGTGAAGCATCCACGGGGACATCACTCGAAGAAGAACAAGTTGTTACGGCACAGTGGGCCATGGAGTTTGTATAGCATGTTGAGGGAAGTGGCTCAAAGAAAAAAGGTTGAGAACCTCTGCTCTACAATAGAACCTCAAAAGATACAAACTCCAGAAAGATATCTTTTAGATACAAAAGACACCCTCTGGAACCAGAAGCATCCAGCAGCACGGAAAAATACACACACACAAAATCAAACAAAAAAGCCAGATACTTTACTACCTCAGGGTTCTAACCTTGTGGTTCAGGGCTTCAGCTGGTGGGGGTGGGGAAGATTAAGAGCTCCACAAGCTGGGTGAGGAGAGTCAGGGCTCTGGGAAGAGAGTGAGATTCAGAGTTTCTGATCCTTAGGAGCACTGGGCTCAAGGCTTAAGCTATAAGAGAAGCACTAGTTTCAGTGCCAGAACTCCCCAATCCCTGGCACACTCCTACCCAGTCTGCAGAAATCAGCAGTGGAGCCCAAGTCTCATCTCTGGGGCAGGGACCAGGAAGGAGCCAAGGAACTGAAGCTTTGAGCTCCAGTGCCCCCCCAAGGCTGAAATCAGGAGCAGAGCTGTGGGGTTGATATCTGAAGCCCAAAGCCCAAGCACTCGCCACCAGACAAAGGCCTGAAAATACTCCTAAAGATCAGAAGCCTGTTCCCACCCCTCCCCTTCCACTGACTCAAGTCCGTAATGTTTTGTTCAGAGTTATGGACAACTTCCATTCCCAAGATGTCCATAACACTGAGGTTCCACAGTACAGTATTGGAGCAGCCAGGTCACCCTTCTTAATAGATTTATATAAAGTAGTTGCACTTATTCCAGGGCTTTTGTGGGTTTTTTTTTTTTAATTCTATATACATTCTAACAAGATAAATAGCATTCTTCCTAGAATTTTGTATGGTACCATTATAAGATGTCTTTAAATCAAGAAAGATATCCTTGACAAAATACTCATTTTGCCTTGTTTTTATTTCCTAACCAAGAAATTATAACTCTCCCTCATCACTTCAAATTTTTTTCCACATTATTGACATTTAAATTTTACAGCTCTTCTTGGTTGCTTGAGATTATAATGTTTAGTTATCAGACAGAATCTGTTGCCCATTTTCCCCCAATCATTGTCTGAGAGAATGACTTCAAGTTTGGCAATGTATAGCATTTCAGATGTGATATTACTTATTTGAAGGTAGGGATATGGAAGTTGAACCATGTATACAACTGACCCATGAGTCTGGGCTTGTACATTAACATTCAGTTATATGCAGGCTCCAGGTACGTGCTGGCTCCCCATGTGCACTAGGTCTTGGGGAGGTGCCTGCCCCTCCACACTGCTGCCTCTGCATCAGAAGCAGCAGCATGGGGAAGGGAGGCAGGCGGGAGCTAGTACACACTGTGAGCCAGCATAAAAGCCGGCTCCTCTCACACACCAGCTCTTGGTTCCACCCCACTGACATTTTCTCTTTTATTTGAACCTTAAAAGGAAAGACAGACTGTTGTGTGGTCTTGCAAGCCCAAGATACAACTCCAGCCATAACATTAACACTGCTATTTTTAGTACACTAGCTCAAGCTCTGCTTTCATAAATCTGTCTCTGGCCTGGCAGGCTCACTCCCACGTGGAGTGCAGACATTTCCCAAGTGATTTAGGAATTTAAGTCCTATTCACTTTTAGCTAGACAGGGTCCTAAGTACCTAAATCACTTTTGAAAATGGCACTTAGGAGTCATTTCAAAAAAGTCAATAGGACTTGAACATTTTCAAAAGCATCTAATGTGTTTACTTTAATATAGTATGTACAGCCTTTTGTACCCTCGCTAAAATTCTAAAAATATATGGTTGCATTTGCTAACTTCACAAAATGTGTCAGTCTTCTAAGGTATATGAATTTGGTATCCCTGATCAATAGCCAACTATCCTGAGATAGTTTTACTTGCACATTTCTTTTAGAGAAGGTAGCTTAACATTTGAGGTTAAGGAACAGTAAACCCAATAAGGAACTAACAGTATTAAAAGTATCAGTACTTACCATGGTCTTTGCCATCTAATCCTGCATTTATGTTTACTATCTCTGGTATGGATAGTACATTTACATCATTCTTCTCAGGTCTTTTACCATGACTGCTGAAAAAACTGTGCAAGACCTGTAATCCCAAGAATTAAATAATTACATAATATTGAATGTTAACTAGTAATTACTGATAATTATGATTTTACAAGTTTTAATCATCATCATCATCCATCATCAACAACCATGGGCTCAACGCCTGTTGTTGTCTGATGCCTTCCTTCCATCTTTCCCTGTCCAGTGCAGAGTGGCTTAGTTTCTGTAGACTAGCTCCGCACCAATCTACTATGTCATCCACCCATTCTCTGTGGGGTCTGCCTCTTCCATTTGGACCATCCATTATACCTAATACTAGGGTCTTTACTTTTCGCTCATTGTTCATTCTGCAGATATGCCCGAATAGCTGCAACTTCCATTATATAATCTTCTACAGTAGGTTCTCTTTCAGCTGTATCTTCCTACATGATTCCTCATTGGTGACCTTCTGCATCCATACTATTCTCAGGATCTTTCTATAACAACTCCTCTCAAACACCAATATCCTTCTCTTCGAATCTTTCGTTATCACCCATGTCTCATATCTGTACAACATGCTGCTAAATACACACATTTTCAAGACACTCAGCTTCGTTCCTAAGCTAATCGCTTTACTTTTCCAAATCTTATCCATCATCTTCAAACTCCCTCTTGCTTTTGCTGTTCTAGTTGCTATTTCCTTCTTACAGTCTAGATCATGTGTCATGGTGCTCCCCAAATACATGAACTTCTCTTTGTTCTCTAGTTCGATACCATCTACACTGATCTTCCTTCCTATTTCCTTATCTCCAAATACCATTGTCCTCGTTTTATCAATATTCATAATCAGTCCATACAGCTTCCCTTCCTAAAGTGGAGCTTGCCTCAGTTCCAAACACAGACAATACTAACTATATTAAATAACAGTTGTATACTACATACTAAATTTTGCAAACACTAAGTTTTAAAATGTAACATGTTTTAAACCATACTGGAGATCCCCGAGTGAAAACAAGAGAGAATTAAATAATTAACTTTTAGCTCAGAGAATATTTATATATATCATCTATAACCGTGGTCCCCAACACGGTGCCCACGGGCGCCATGTCGCCCACGGGGGCATTTCAATGCGCCCGCCAGGTGCTCGGGGCTGGCCTGGCCCCAGGCACATGGCGCACGGGCACTTGCGGGGGGAGCGCGCTTGGCGGGGGGAGCGCCGGGCGCATGGCAC